GTGTATGTGTAATTCTATATTAACTTTTATAAAAAGTCGAATATATATATATATATATATATATATATATATATGTATATATATATTAGACTTTTTATAAATAATGTAAATATATAATCTAAAAATTTGTAATAATGTAATATCTAATATTTATTAGTGCGATGTGGGACACTATTATAATGAGTCATGCGGTTCTTTATATCACCTGTATGTGAGCGACTGCAGCGCGCGACAGTGACAGCTGACGACCCACAGCGATCTGTCCGTCAGAATGTTGGGACAATGAGAGACACGCAGAGCGATGAGACACCGCCCCGCTGACTTCAGCACCGCCTCCAGCCCCGCCTCCAGCCCGCCCCTCGACACAGAGAGATCCGCACACACAGCTGACAGCACACTCCCTACTAAAGCACTGTATACTGGCCTTCATGTGAGAGATGTGTGTGTGTGTGTGTGTGTGTGTGTGTTTTACCTGGTGCTGCGTAAATACTCGTCTTTACTCTCCTTCTTGCCACGAGATCGAGGTTTGAGGTTGTGAAGAACGAGAGACTGAGTCTGACAGCACCACTGAGACAGAGTCATCAGGAACTACACACACACACACACACACACACACACACACACTCGAGGTCAGGATGACCTACAGTGGCCTCTAGTGGTCTGGCTTTGTACTAGTTATGGCTTTAGTTATCTGAGGAAGCCATTTTGGCAGAAGTTCTTTGCGGCCTGTATATGGAAATAAGCTTCTGGACAGGTAAGACTGATGGGAGTTTCTGTCTTCTGTTGATGTTTGCAGATTTAAATGCTTTGCTGGTTTTGTTTGGGCGATTGTTCGCTGGTGCACGAGGACCGGGAGATTTGCTTTAGGTTGGATGAAGTATTTGTGGATTCAAGTTGTGCATGTAAATAAAGTGTTTACTTAGATTGGTTATTTGTTTGACTTTCTAGTGATGAATCCAAAATACTAAATGTCACAGATGTATATTTACAGAGTAATCCACTGTTTTGTAGAGGAGGGGCTATGAGATTCGGAGCCAGATTACAGGGGGGTAAAAAAACGACTTCAGAAAGATTGCAGCATCAATATATTATTTTCACACAAGTCTATTAGTAAAATCTGTTGACTTTAGTAAGTTTTGTTGCATTGTGTGTCAATGGTGACAGTTCAAAACTAGGAAAAAAGCTGTTTTTGTGTGTTTTTCTCCAAAGTTTGCATTGGTGTAACTAAAGAAGTGTTAAAGATATCTTAATATCCTTTTAGATTTTGGTTCTTAACAAACGTTTCCTTTGGCATCTTAATTTGTAAGGCCCTGTAAGGTTCCTTAGCAGAGATATAGGGATCTCAAAGCGGCTCCATGTGCACATTGTTAAAATGTATTTATATTCAGTGGTCAAAAACGTTAAATAGATGATACTTTTTTCTTTTAAAGACAAATGTCTGAAGAACAAATAATGCTTTAACTAGAAATGTATCTTTGTTTCCCTCTTTGCAAAACCATACCTATCTGAGTGCCATAAATATACATTTTTCAAAAGTTTGCATGCCTGTAACTCAAGAAGTATTAAAAATGTCTCAGCAAGATTTTAGATTCTAGTTCTTATGTAACTTTTCTATTGGTATCTTTATTTTTGAAGTCCTGTATGGTTCACACCCAGAGATATGGGGATCTCAATGTGGCTCTAAGTCCAAATTTTACCCATTTTCAGTGGTCGAAAGTCAAATGTGGGGGCACTTTGCATACAGATGATACCTGTTGTATTTAAAGACAAATGTCTGAAGAACAAATAATGCTTAAACTAGAAATGTAGCTTGTTTCCCTATCAAAGCAAGTGTGTAAAACGTACCTCCAAATCTCAGGTGAAAATGGTCATTTTGACCCCATCTACAAAATAGCGGATCACTCAGTAAATATACATCCATGGCATTTCATATTTTGGCTTTCTAATGCATTTATGTAGTTCTTTCACCCAAATGTCTTTACTGTCACTTTTGATCAATTTAATGAATAATGGTCTGAATTTCTTAAAAATAAAAAAACAAGTCACACCTGTCTATATAAGACCTTACAGCTCACAGTGCATGTCAGAGCAAATGAGAATCATGAGGTCAAAGGAACTGCCTGAAGAGCTCAGAGACAGAATTGTGGCAAGGCACAGATCTGGCCAAGGTTACAAACGTGTGATTTTGTGTGCGTGTGATTCTTTGTGTGTGTGTGTGATTGTGTGTGTGCGCGTGTGATTTTGTGTGTGTGTGATTTTGTGTGTGTGTGTTGTACCCATGCAGCTGTAGGTCCTGTATCCAGTGTGTTGCTGTGTGTCGTCCTGTGATTCTGAGGTGTAAAGTGACCAGTGGTCTGAATCGGCGTCAGTGTGTGTGTGTTGGATCATCCAGGGCCCCTCGACAGCGCCACACAACACATGCTGATACTGCCGTCTGTCCCAGGGACCCTCACAGCCGCCCGAGCCCACCGACAGTGTGCGCGGCCTCCGCTCGAACCTCAGACACGTCAGTCACAAACCACATCATTACTGCAGCAGATCACATCACATTTGAAACAAAAAACAGCAATGTTGCTTTGGCAACTAACTAAAAAAAAGTTGAAGTTGAAGCAGTAAAATTAAAACCTAAATAGTAATATTTTAATAAAACAAAAACTAATAAAAAAAATAGCAAAAGACAACACAATCACTAAAAGTACAACAAAAACTGAAATGAAAATTACAAATATAAAAATAAAAGCTGAATATTAATGAAATCTATAATATATTAAAAATACTAAAATAACACTGCACATAAATTATGAGACCAGGGTTTTTATAGTTAACTAAAACTAAAACCACAAAACTTTTTACTTTTAATAAATAGATAAAATAAATGTTAATTGAAATAAAAAAATTAAGTTAAATATAAAAAAAACATGTTTTTTCCAGATAGTTGCCAAGGCAACATTTCTCATTGTCATTTATTTTAAATAAATGTAGTAAAATAACTAAAACAAAAATGACTTTTGACATATTTACAAAAATCAATCAATAAAAATCTTTACTTAATAAAACTTGAACTAAAATGAAAATGAAAATACAAAAATAAAAACTATAGTAATACTAACAGTATCTCAATGATAACTACACGAGACTCTTATTTCTCATTAATTCCACGATACGACCCACTTATAGACAATATTCTGTTAAATATGTTGAGGCGCTTGAACAGATGTGATTCACATGTGCATGTTCAGTAATGTACCTGTAGTGTTGAGCGGCTCTGTGATCAGACAGATGAGAAGATCTCCTGCTCCTCCCAGACACGCTGTAACTCCTCTGTCAAACACACAAACACATCCACTGCTGATATATGAGAAATATCAGCGGTCGCGCTATATCTCCAGTAATAATAAGACGAGACTGAAATGCTCCAAACATATAATGCAGTGATTGAGAGCTGAAGAAATAAAGGCTCCTCAGAAGATGTGAGATGTTCTGGAGCCTAGCCATCAGAGAAGTTAATTAAACACCGGTCAGTGATTTTGACACTCCAAAACGTCTGAAACTGAATTTATTTTTATTTTTTTGGCAATTTCAGACGAATATCTTCATTTGCTGTAATTTCAGTGCATCTCAACACAAACACTCACTGTTGCTTGCGCCGCAGTTGTTCATCTCTCTCTCTCAGCTCGTATCGGAGGCTGGCCAGCATCTCCACGGAAATGTCCACCTGCCGCTCCAGTTCGGCCGCCCGCTCCTCCGCATGACGCTTCTCTCTGTGCATGCACTCGCTCTCTCTCCTGGCCCGCCTCACCTCCACGCTCCTCCGCTGCAGCTCGTACTGCAGCGTCTCCAGTTTGAGCGACACACGCTCCTGCACCTCCAGCGCCAGCTGCTGAAGCCGGGCCTCCAGCGCCAGCCTGCCCAGCCATGGCACTCCCAGCTGGGCCACAGCGTGTCCGGCGTCTGCCTCCGCCTCTGCGGCTCTGGAGCTCATGGCGACCGCCAGCACTGGAGACAGAGACGAGGGCAAGTCCCTCTGAATGAGAATCTTTCGGAGCGGACGGGCCAAACTCAGGGCATCCAGGAGCTCCAGCCGCAGAGGACGGTCGATCTTGCTCTCTCGCTGGGCGTACAGGGACATGAGTCTGCCCTCAGAGCTCCGGCGAGGGGTCAGACAGAGTTTCTGGCAGGAGCGGGCGCTGGACAGGTGCTCTCCAAAGCCACACGCCTCTCCGCAGGTCGGGCAGCATAACGGCAGCTCTGTGCTGGTTGACATACTGCGACGATGTGCTCTCACGCTCGAAAAACAACTCCAGAGTCGAGTGGGGAGATCATTCAGAGTTCAGGAGCATTTCAGGAGCATTTCAGGAACATTAGGAGCTTGTTAAGAACGTCTCAGGAATGTTTCAGTAACTTTAGGAGCGTTTCAAGAATGTTTCAGTAACTTTAGAAGCGTTTCAAGAAAGTTTCAGGAACTTTAGGAGCATTTCAAGAAAGTTTCAAGAACGTTTCAGGAACTTTAGGAGCATTTCAAAAATGTTTCAGGAATGTTTCAGTAACTTTAGGAGTGTTTCAAGAACTTTTCTGGAACTTTAGGAGCATTCAACAAAGTTTCAGTAAATTTAGGAGTGTTTCAAGGAAGTTTCAGGAACGTTTCAGTAACTTTGGGAGCTTTTCAAGAATGTTTCAGGAACTTTAGGAGCATTTCAAGAACATATTAGGGACGTTTCAGGAACATTTGGAGCATTTCAAGAACGTCTCAGGAATGTTTCAGTAACTTTATGAACGTTTCAAGAACCTTTCAGGAACTTTAGGAGCATTTCAAGAAGATATCAGGAACATTTCAGTAACTTTAGCAGTGTTTCAGGAGTGTTTTGTGGCTTTTCAGTATCTTCTGGGGCATTTCAGTAACATTAGGAATGTTTTAAGTGCATTTCAGACGTTTTTCAAGGTGTTTCAGTATCTTCTGGGCGTTTCAAAGGTTTTTCAGTAACTTCGGGAGCCTTTTAGGGGTGTTTCAGTATCTTCTGCGGTGTTTCAAGAGCGTTTCAGTAACTTTCAGGCGTTTCAGAATCGTTTTGGGGTATTTCAGTATCTTCTGGAGCATTTCAAGGGCGTTTCAGTAACCTTTAACAGAATTTAGGGGCGTTTCAGTAACTTTGGGAGAGTTTTTAGGGCATTTCAAAAGCCTTTCAGGGAGTTTTAGTATCTTCTGGGGTCTTTCAATGGCATTTCAGTAACTTTTAGGAGTGTTTAAGGGGCATTTCAGTATCTTTTATCTTTCAGTAACTTTAGGAGTATTTTAGGGCTGTTTTTAGAAGTCTCTTGGGCATTTCAAGGACATTTCAGTAACATTTTAGGGGCATTTGAGAAGTATTTCAGGGCATTTCAGTAACTTTGGGGCATTTTAGGGGCGATTCAGTGTCTTCTGTGGCATTTCAGGAGCTTTTCAGTCCAAAACAGGTTCTTGCAGCATTATCACACCTGCAAAAGAAAAAAGGAACAAAAGGAATGATAACTTAAGTTTCATTCAATCAATAATAAATGCACTGGTTTCCTTCACAACATGATTTGTTGCCTGTTTGAAGTGCTTCTAAGTTGTCAAAATGTATCTGTCTGTTATACATATGCATCTAAAAGTGAGGTGTCTCATTTCTGTGTCCTCCCTCCATCATCTATTGGTAATTCATATTAACACAGCGTATGAACATATTCTTCTGTTGGTGTTTCGTGTGTGTGTGTATGTGTGTGTGTGTGTGTGTGTGTGTGTGTGTGTGTATGTGTGTGTGTGTGTGTGTATTTATAGTTATAGGAGTCTTTGCTGTTGCACCAGCAGACTCAGGAACAGTTTCTTTCCCTCTGCTGTCAGCCTACTAAATTAAAAATGTAACCGCTGAACTCTCTATCCTACTCGGCCCAGCTAATACTATTTATAAAAATAAAAAAAACTGTACAGCATCATCTGTTATTATTGTTGTACATTCTACATCATGATGCCCACTGCACTGATATAGTCACTGACCGTATGTTTATATATTTATAAATACCTCATTCTGAATAATGCACCTTCTTGTTTTATACTTCTCACTTGCACACTACTGTACTGTATTCACATTGCACTATATTAATGTAACTTTAGATTGCATCTTGTACCATATTTCATAGACAACTGCATTGAGCTGGTCTCTGCACCTGCACCTGTCCCTCATAAATGTTTATTATGCACACATACACATATATATATATATATACGGCTGTCCAGCTTCCCAGACGTCTGGCGCGTCCTGCCTTCACTCCGTCTCGTCTTCCACAGACCCGCTGAACTCGACTTCACGAGCACGAGCAGCCGCTCCGGTCGCCTCTGACGTCACTCCCGGTCTGGGAGGAACGGACTGCACGAGGAGCGTGAAATAGAGCGGTAGGAAAAATGCATTAATGTGTGGGCGCGCGCGTTACGTTGCGTCGAGCGAGCTGCGCTGTCCACGCACTCGTGGTGCTGAAGGTCCGCCAGTGTGTTGAGAACAACTGGTTTGATTAAAATACGCTGCAGTTGTGTCCATAATTATAATACATTAAATATGTTTGAATGCAGCATCTTTTAGATATAACCGATCGTATACGCTAATTTTTCTATACAATATATACATATTACATGGAGTGAGTTGATATACTGTCACTGGGTTCTCTCTGTGTGTGTATTTGAGTTTGTGTGTGAGTGTGAGTTTGTGTGAGAGAGAGTGTGAGTGTGTGTGTGTGTGTGTGTGTGTGTGTGTGTGTGTGTGTGTGTGTGTGTGTGTGTGTGTGTGTGTTTGTGTGTGTGTGTGCATGTTTATGTGGTTTATGAGGACACAAATTTGTATAATAACATGGGTATGACACAGGTATTACAATGAGAAGGTGATTTATGAGGACATTTTCAGTGTCCCCGTAATTCAAAAGGCTTATAAATCATATAGAATTAAGTTTTTTGAAAATCTACAAATGCACAAAGTCTCCTGTGAGGGGTAGGTTTAGGGGTAGGGTTGGTGTAGGGCAATAGAATATACGGTCTGTACAGTATAAAAACCATTACGCCTATGGAGAGTCCCCACAAGGATAGCTGACCAGACATGTATGTGTGTGAGAGTGTGTGTGTGTGTGTGTGTGTGTGTGAGAGAGAGAGTGTGTGTGTGTGTGTGAGTGTGTGTGTGTGTGTGTGTGTGTGTGTGTGTG